AAAAAGTAAGGAACGCAAGTTATGCCATAGTGGAGTCAAGCCTTTGCTCACATCAGCCTTTGTCACATTTTAAGTAGTTTCTAAAATGTGTAACACTGAAAACCCAGTCGGAGTTAATCCTGATCTTTAGACAAAATACAGTAGAGTATACAAAGGCTTTGGTTTCAATTTTTATAAGTATCAAAAAGCTTTCTGTAACACTTCTGGGTAGAAGACCTGAATTCACAGGCCAAAATTATTTGTTCCAACTAAGACCTAATGTAACTTTATTCTGAGTCACAAACAATTATTAAAAATTAAATCTCAAATTAATTAATTTAAAAAAAAAATTATTCCCAAACTGTTCTAGAAGTCTAAAGGGAGCCTTCTCTTTTACCATAATCTCTTCTTAGCCCAGTCAATCCACAAATGAAGTGACTCTGCCCCAGAAACAACCTAAGACCAAAGCCATTCTATGCTGAATGCTTCTCCAAGTGGGAATCACTTCGGAGGAAAAACAGGTCCCATCCAGGAACCTTAATCTGCTCCACATGCACACCTGCTCCTTTGTGAATAACAAGGTGAAAACCAGCACAAAGCAGACTCAAGAGTCAGTGCCCCCATCTGACACAGAAGCTGGGAGAGCATTTATTCTCCATCAAGGAAACCTACACCTCCAAAGTGTGTGGTTTTACATTACTGTGCAGAATTTCAGGTACCACTTCAAATACCTCGAAATCCATCTCCTACCGTTTCAAACTCCAAAATTTTATCTTTGTGAAACTGAGACCAATCAAGTACAACTTACTCAAGTTCAGAACAGTGTGTGCTATCAAACAATTAAGAAGAAAAAAACCAAACAAAAACCCTAAGCCAACAAACTTGTCAAGAGACTATCCAAGGCTTTTTTTATGGAAATAAAAGTTTTGCCCGATGGAACCCTTAAAAGGAACCGAATAAACACGTATGTCTTGGTTAAGAGAGAATGCCACTTTAAACAACAGCAAAAAAAGAATTCAGAGCGTAAACTTCATCTAGATAAAGCTCCCTTAGTACCTCTGAATGGTGCCCTACACTTCCATTCTCCGATCCAGAGTGTTGTTCGTTTCCTTCATCTTCCACATCAGATCCTGAGTCTCGCTCGTCTTGCACTGGAGTAGCTCCTCCATCATCTATTCCGAGATTAAAGAAAATAAAGTAAAACTCAGCGTTTAAAGGAACCGCACAGGAAGCCGGCGGGCTCCCGCTCTAACGGGGCAGGGAAACGGGGCTGTCCGAACACACCACCCCAGACACCCCCGCACAAATCCTCCCATATCACGCGGGCAGCGGCTGATGCACTGCCCAGACACCGGACTGTTGAAGCAATTAACGCCGTGCTGCCCTCAGGCCAAGGCCCCACCGCTGTCCCCCCGAACCCGCGGGCCCTACCGTGCGCGACGCCCTCCCCGGAGGCTCCTGCGCCCTGCTCCACTACCTGACTGCTCCCCGCCGTAGTAGTGGGTGTCCATGCCGGGCCCCGCGGTAGCGGCGGGCGCTGCCCTGGGCGCTCCCTCAGCGCAGGCCCGGCCCGGCCCCGCCGCCTCGCACAGGAACAAGATGGCGCCTCCCCGCCCGGCAGCACCCC